TGGAAACCTAGGAACTTTGTTCCAATCACTCGGTCAATATGACAAGGCCCGAGAATATCAAGAGAAAGCACTCGCTATCAAAATAGAAATTGGTGAGAGGGATGGAGAAGCATCAAGCTTCGGAAACCTAGGAGCTTTGTTCCAATCACTCGGTCAATATGACAAGGCCCGAGAATATCAAGAGAAAGCACTCGCTATCAGAATAGAAATTGGTGACAGGGATGGAGAAGCGACAAGCTACGGAAACCTAGGAACTTTGTTCCAATCACTCGGTCAATATGACAAGGCCCGAGAATATCAAGAGAAAGCACTCGCTATCAGAATAGAAATTGGTGACAGGGATGGAGAAGCCACAAGCTACGGAAACCTAGGAACTTTGTTCCAATCACTCGGTCAATATGACAAGGCCCGAGAATATCAAGAGAAAGCACTCGCTATCAAAATAGAAATTGGTGACAGGGATGGAGAAGCATCAAGCTACGGAAACCTAGGAACTTTGTTCCAATCACTCGGTCAATATGACAAGGCCCGAGAATATCAAGAGAAAGCACTCGCTATCAGAATAGAAATTGGTGAAAGGGATGGAGAAGCAACAAGCTACGGAAACCTAGGAACTTTGTTCCAATCACTCGGTCAATATGACAAGGCCCGAGAATATCAAGAGAAAGCACTCGCTATCAGAATAGAAATTGGTGACAGGGATGGAGAAGCATCAAGCTTCGGAAACCTAGGAACTTTGTTCCAATCACTCGGTCAATATGACAAGGCCCGAGAATATCAAGAGAAAGCACTCGCTATCAGAATAGAAATTGGTGACAGGGATGGAGAAGCCACAAGCTACGGAAACCTAGGAACTTTGTTCCAATCACTCAGTCAATATGACAAGGCCCGAGAATATCAAGAGAAAGCACTCGCTATCAAAATAGAAATTGGCAACAGGGATGGAGAAGCAAGAAGCCACGAAAACCTAGGAACTTTGTTCCACGCACTTGGCAATTTTCAAAAGGCCCGAGAATGTCAAGAGAAAGCACTCGCTATTAACATAGAAATTGGCAACAGGGATGGAGAAGCAAAATGCTACGGAAACCTAGGAGCTTTGTTCCTATGCCTTGGCCAGTATAGTGAAGCTGAAGAGTGTATGGAGAAAGCACTGCGTATCCAAAAGAAAATTGGTGATAAAAGAGGAGAGGCAAGTAATTATGGAAACCTCACATATTTGTTTCTCTCGCTCGGCAAGTATGCAAAGGCTGACGATTATCTAAAGAAGGCAATAGCAGTTAGAGAGGGTATCGGAGATAGAAGCGGAGAAGCATTAGACTTCGGACATCTTGGTAAAATTTCATGTAAGCGTGGTGAATATGACAAGGCTCGAGAATATTACGAGAAAGCCCTTACAATTCACATGGAAATCGGTCAGAGAGAAGGAGTAGTAGTCAACTATATCGATTTAGGATCGTGTTTTACATCGCTTGGTAAAAATGACATAGCCGAAGAGTACTTTAAGCAGGCTCTCCTATTAAGTAGGGATATTGGACAACACTTGCACGAGTTTTACTCTCTTTGTTATCTATCGGTGTTGAAGGTGTTACAATGTCATCTTGAAGAGGCTTCTTCGTATCTTTTTCAAGGCATCCAAAAGTTCGACACTTTGAGAGGTTTTCTTAAAGAAAACGATCAGTTTCAAATATCTCTTTTAGAAACGCACGGCACCTTTCCCTACATGTTCTTCAGTCGGTTGCTTTCTTCCACTGGTAAGCCGCAAGACGCCCTTTATGTCGAAGAGCTGAGAAGGGCAAGAGGCCTGGCCAACCTGATGGCAGCTCGGTACTCTGTTCAAGAGCAGATCTCGAGCGATCCACAATCTTGGTGTGGCATTCAAGGGATCATCACAAAGGAAGCAGACTGTGCATGCCTGTACATTTCGGTTGGTCAAAATAGTATACGGTTTTGGATCATTAAAGCAACGGGAGCTATTCATTTTTCGGAAGAGGAAGTGAGCCTGGACAAAAACAAGGTGACCGGAATAGTCCCTGAGTTAGATGAGTATTTTAAACAAGCCTTCCGCACCCACGCCATTTTACCCGAACAGGATTGCGAAGATCGATCTTTAGATGACACCGAAATGATGTCGCTTCACTACGACAACCGCTCAGTGCTGCGTGACTACGACACCGAAGATTTCAAAACAAGTCTTGACTTGTGTTACAAGATTATAATCGCTCCTGTGGCCAGTTTACTGAATAAGCCCGAGATCATAATTGTCCCAGATTCCTGTGTGTACCAAGTGCCATTTGCTGCCTTGGCTGACGAAAGAGGCAAGTATTTATCAGAGACATGCAGGATTCGGCTAGTTCCCTCTCTCACGACTCTCAAGCTTGTTCAAGACAGTCCTCCAGATTATCACAGTGAGACCAGGGCACTGATAGTGGGTGACCCTGTGGTTGGAAAGGTGATTTACAAGGGAAGGTGCAGAAATATGACACCATTGCCATGTGCGAGAAAGGAAGCAGAGATGATTGGGGGACTTCTTGGCGTAACACCTTTGATAGGAGTTTCCGCGACAAAGCATTCTGTACTCCAAGCGATAAATTCAGTGAGCCTGATACACATTGCTGCCCATGGTGATGCCGAAAGAGGGGAGATTGCTCTTTCTCCTGAGCACCCTACCCTACTCCCACCTTTCCCTCGAGAAGAAGATTATCTTTTGACGATGGAGGATATTTCAAAAACTCGATTGCGAGCTAAACTAGTGGTGCTTAGTTGTTGTCACAGTGCTCGTGGACAGATTAGAACCGAGGGAGTAATTGGACTTGCCCGAGCGTTCTTAGGATCCGGAGCTCGTTCAGTGTTGGCTGCACGATGGGCCCTGGTTGACACAGCCACAGAGCAGTTCATGACTTGTTTCTACAAACATTTGTTCCGCGGTGAAAGCGCCAGTGAGTCTCTCCACAAGGCCAGGAATTGGATGAGAAATAACGGCTTTGACAAAGTTTCTCAATGGGCGCCATTTATGATCATGGGCGACAACGTGACATTTGATTTTGGAAATTGGCCGGTGCCTAACGCACCTTAAGAGCCATGACTTTGATAAAACCTCTGTAGCAGAATGAACTAGATTTAGTAAAGCTCAGAACTATTTAATTACAAGCCTGTGAAAAGAGGACGTCATCTGCGAAGGACAACTCGGATCGATAAACAGAGGAAAGCATTTCTGTAATATGCTTATCAGACATCTAAGTTTATTAATTTGAAATAAGACAGCGTGTGGCGTATCTCTTTATAAGAGTTCCGAAGTTAAAAAAACTCCAATTTATTTTTTTAAGTCATTAGTTCAGTGAACAAGCCAAGCAAAGTGTGACAGCTTTTAGGTTTCGAACGCGGTTAGTTCTTCAAGGAAAGAAAATTTTTAATCCTTTTTCAAAGGTGATTAGTTATTCAATTCCAGAGAATTTTGCACAAATGTGTGACCTTGGAAAAGAAGTGTTTTCTGAGCTTAAATTTTTGGAAATTTCTTGCAAGGTTTTTGACCAAAATATTGTGGTGTAACATGCCAAAATAAATATATTTAAAGAAAAGAAAAAAGGAGATACTCTTAATCGTATAGTAATGCAAACCATTGTATTTTCATAGATACCCCAGTAATTTTATCAATTTAATCCTTTAACCCTAAAGAGTGATTAGCATCTTATTTCTCCTTACAGTCAGCTCTTGATTGTTAAGCAAAATCTCCTTGTTAGCACCCTAGGAAATGTATAGAAAACAGCATGGAGAATGTGTATACTGATCTTAGTGTGTAAAGGGTTAATTGATACCCCTATGCGTAGATACCGTTGTATCCTCACACAGACTCTTGTATGCTTATAGATACTTTTGTATACTCATTATCCTTCACTTTCGCTCTGCCGCTACTATTTCGCTCTTGCCTGATGAAATAGATGACCCTCGTGTCAGCCATTTAGGATTCAAATCCCCTCTTTAAATCGCTCTCCCGGGCCTCTGAGAGGTTACACATTGGGTGCGTGAGCCAATCCTTCCAATAATTTTCGAATTGTCTTATTTCCGATTCAAGGAAACTGCCATGCGCATTTCCCGTCTAATGAAAGACAGTCCACGGACCTCCCTGGAGAAAGCTGGTGACTAGATAGAGTACGTACTCAGACATGGTGGAACCCAGCACCTCAGAGCTCAGGTGTTTGACATCCCTTGGTACCAGTACTACTTACTTGACGTCATAGCTTTCCTTGTTGCCATAGCAGCGATAAATGTCATGGTGATAAGACTGGCATGTCGATGCCAATGTCGTGCATGCTGTAAAAGGAGTGTTGACAAAACTAAAAACGATTAAAATCTTGATTGCTCTTCTCCCTTAACACAATTAAGCGCGATTAGAATTAATGCACCTGTCGACTCAAACTCATTATATGTCACAAGATAAGTGGGTTTGATCAAATGACTTTATAGAATGAATTGACCACCATAAAGACTTTCTAAAGCTGACGTGTGGAGCGTTAACCCTTCGTCATGCGCTCTGACAGTTTCCTCCCGTACAGGAGAAGTTAAAAAGCATGGCTCACAATTTCGGACTATTTTTTCAACAGCAATTGACGTTAGATACTGATTTTGATTTCTACTCAAAATAATCCAATTAACGGCGTTTGACTCCACAATAACACGCTAAAATAGCGTGTAATACTTAATACGAAATATCGACAAAAATTTTGCATTTCGTTCGGCTACATCTGGCAACCTTCGGAATTCATCACAACAACTTCGGAGGTCCACGAAACGTCTTCGCTAATGTTTGGAAATCGACTGATGTTTTTTTCCAAAATACCTTGACCCGGAGAAAGCTACTGCATAGGTAAACATTAAATATCAAGTATATAATTTTTCTACGGCACAAATATTTTTTTCCAATTTTCTACTTAAATAAATACAGTGGCAATGACTCTGAGTCCATTTGTTTAGAGTATGTAATACAAATATAGTTCTGACAAATATTAAAATGGAATATTGAAGGGATAATGAGGATGAGCACTATCTCGAGGGACTTTCTTACCATCAACCTGAAAAGAAAGAAAGGTGAAAAAGAAAAAAGGTTAACTCTTGAAAAAAGCCTCTAGCGTGCAATTTTCTCTTCTAGCCATATAGCCTGTTTGTTCTTTCAATCCTAGTAGTGATTAAGATACAGTATCAATATCTCATGGGTCAGACACATAATAAGAATAAAGAAAAATAGGTCCGCAATGCGTACTTGTGTGGGATTTCATTGACAAAGAGTTTGCAAGGGGTTTTTGAGCGGAAGCAAACCTGTCGCTCACCGCGAGTCAACTGTACTACAGGGGTGATATTAGGCCTGGAATCAACAGCCTGAATAGTAATTTTTGTGCAGGAATTATTTGAACAAATACAGATTCACAGGAGAGATCTGGGGCATTAACTTATACTTTTATCAAGCAATATGCCTTTCCCTCCCTCCCTGGAAGCTTTTTGGCGTGTTTTTGAACGTTTGGTAATCGTCTTCAACAAATAAATTACCTCTTGGTGGCTTAGGCTATTTATTTGTTTATACGGCAATACTGGAAATACTTGAAGCAGTAAATATTTTCGTAACAGTCATTGAAAAAAAATTGAAAACATTTCTGCTACTACTGTTTAACTCGTGGATACACGATAGCGTAGAAACGAGTTCTTGTGGGCGCTCTGCGATATGCAAATTAGCGTGGACTCTTCGTAATTAGTCGTAATTAGTCTGCTTCGAACTCGAGATCTATCCTTCCGAAGAAGTAAGTCCAAAGTCCTGGCGCTATTATGATTGCACTGATCTTTGCGATATTTATTGTCTTTACACGCCTGTTTCGACATTTACTATATTGAAATGGACTTCAAATGTTTCAGATTAGTGCTATGATCAACTTAAAAATCAAATTTGAAGGGTCTTCGAATCGTCCATGCGCTAAACATAACGAGGACCAGCGAGAATCACGAAGACTTTGTGAGTGACAGCAAGCTGTTGACACAGAAATTCCCACGGAAACATGTACCCATGACATAAAAAAAATGGTAATTTGCAGCATTATTTCTTTCTACGCCAATTTGGGTCTTTCCGTTGTAATCGTTTCGTTTTGTTATTCTTCTATGCAAACGTGACTGTTTTGATGGTAAGAATGAAAGATGATCGCTTTCAAGAAGTCGTTGCCGAGCACGTGACTATAATCTGGCCGGTGTTGTTTTGATCACTTGAGATCTTTTTCGCTGAAAATACAGGACGACTTCCTATTTCAAGGAATGCTTTTCCAATTAATTTATATCGCATCGGTGTAAAAAAGTACAGGTATATGGGTGTTCTGAAAAACAAAAGGGAAATTCAAAACTACGAGAAATTGCGAGTAATCGGCCTCTTATGCTACACGCGGGTTTTTTTGGTGTAACATGCGTGTGTTTCCCATAAGTTACAAGCACTTTACGCACGTGGGAATGCTGCAATCACGAATTTTAGATTACGTGAAAGTCACGCATGTGGTTGTTTGTTCACTTCACTAATATGTTTGTTTGCTTGTTGTTGTTTTTTTTGGTATCCTGGAGCATTTCAGGAGGGGTTGCAGACTTAACTGTGGAATAATTGTTTAATGCAGGGTGTCAATAAAGGTTGCAGTTAGAAATTAGCCAAGATGCTAAAGGAGCTGCCTTGAAATTTCAAGACTGTGTGTTATGTAGTTTATTTTTGTCTTTTGTAAATGGTTGTTAAACTGGACAACTCTTAGAAAGATGACTTCAAACTTAATTTTAAAAGGCCTGTTCTGGTACCAAATGAATAAGCAGCATTTCCTTATTAATAGTTTTGCGAGGTCCTCATCACAAATTCCTCTGAAAAAAGGGAAACAACTCTTTTCATAACTATTTACTGCTTTCTTTTGTTGCTCTCTTAACTTAAAAACAATGTACATCATGATAAAGTAATTTGTTAGAGGACACCGTGAAATGAGGCCCAAACAGCTTTATGATCTGTGAAATATGTTGCTAAAACATCTGCTTGTATATCAATGTTAGATATATTTGTATATATATGATCCATTACTGTGTTGTTGTCAGTTGTATAAGTTGATAAGAACTGTCTGTAATGGTTATCCCTCACTAGTAAATTATACAAAGGTCTTCTGTCTGTTTCAACAAGCCAATTTATATTAAAGTCTCCAGTAATGTTATTGTTGTCTGGTGAAATGTTATTTAATACCTCAGTTATTGCTTCATAAAGTTGCCTTACAGGCACGTTTGGGGAGTAATATATCCCTATGATTATTCAATCCTAAAGACTTGCTAACTTAATTACTGTTATTTCAACACCATGTATATTGTGACAATAGGGGTATCCAGGTAAGTATGGGATTTTATTGTACACAGCTGTACCACCATAAGACCTTGATCCATTGCTGGAATTAAGGTTGTCATTATGGAAGAGAACATAACCAGCAATGTCATACATGTCATCATTATCTTGAGAATTAAATCTTGTTTCTGTGAAAATATTGATATCAGCACTTAGATAAATTAAGTCTTTACGTATATATCTTCTATGTGTTTGTGAAGAGACCTTACATTAAGATAACACAGTTTAAGAAGGGAAAATGTTATGTCATGGAGAGGGGAGATGCAAAGCTTAAGTTTTGCAGTTGTTCTTAATCTCTCCATCTGGATTAACAGCAATCTTGCTTTCACACAAATCAGAAATATATAGGCCTTCTGTAACAGTCACTCTACTGAGTCCCACATAATGTATGAGTGGAATAGTATTTCTGGTACTAAAATCCACAACAATTCCACTGTCAGTATCACCTTGTGACCTGTGAATTGTTTTTGCTGCTGCAGGATGCAGTGGAAATTGTTTTCTAACAACTTGTGCTGTTCTGTTTCTACCACAAACTGTGTAGTCACAGGGTTTACTGGGGTCCATGTGTGTTCAATTCCTTGTACATACAAATGTCTTTTTTCATTCCTTGTTTTCTGACCTACATCTGAGTGGTCAAATTGTACCCATACAATACCAGATGGTTTGGTTTGTTGATGTAACTGAACTAGTTTAACAACATTTCCAGCACCATTTGTCATGCCATCTTCGGTTCGTACATTCATGACAAAGTGTGTTCTTTCACCCTCAGCAAGACAAAGGGTTGAGGCTAACTGTTTTGTTTTTCTTGGATCATTGGGTATTTGTCTTAGTATTTTGTTTCTTAGCTCTGGAGAGATAGCTCCAATAACACTATCTAGAGCATTTATTGTGAATTTGTTTCCTGTGGCCGCATTATGGGCCCTTTGATTAAATTCATCTACTTTAGCATTCTGTATAAATAAGTGAGATGCATCTATTGGGTTGTTGATGTCTTCTTGTATAGCTCTCTTTAAGTTTTGCAATGTCAGCTACTGTGTGTTTACCTTTACGCAACCTATTAAGTAATTCCACAAACAATTTGCTGTCTCTTTGACCCATGATTTCATTAAGTTCAAACATTTTAAAGTGTTTATGCCATAAACTGGGAGAAAGAACAGCATAAATCTACATTTTTGAGGTCTTTGAAAATATAAGCATCCATAACAGATTCTAATTGGAATAAGTCACCAATAGCAATTATGCTCACACCTCCAAAATCCTCTCTACAGCCTTTTATATCTTTAAGCCTATTGTTTGGCTGTATTGCAAATGACCATTACCATTTCCTACCACTGAGATTTCATCAAAAAAATCAATTGACTTCTCAAAGTGTTTAGTCTACTTGAATCAAGCTGTTTGTAATGTCTCAGTGATTGATTGGCAGGAATGGCCAGAGTGCTATGAAGAGTGTTACCCTTAAGCTTTACCAGTTGGAGCTAATAGTATAACTTTGATCTGATGAAAATCATCACCAGCTCTAGTGTTATAATACTTAAGCACTGCCTGATACAAATCTTTTGTTAAATGCGATTTGCCAACACCAGCCCCTCCACTGAGGAAGCAGTAGAAAGGGGTTTCTGAGGTTTTAATCTGATGTAAAATGTGATAAAAAATTCTTTTTGCTCTTTATCGGATGTCTGGACCATTTGACGAAAATCGAAATCAGGTAATTCATTCAATATCAGTGGTTCATTATTCAGCAATGCTGATGGAATGTTGAGATCATCAGAGAGGTCACAGTTTTCACTTAAATCAGGATGTAAATCTTCATGAGATCCAATCCTTGAACGGAATTGGTCAATGGAGATCCCCATATTTACTTGTGTGCTTGAGCGAGCAACAACAACAATCCAACTAACTAGAAACTCAGTTTATTAAAATAGATAACACTCTTGACAGTTCAAGGCAAACAATAGTTTCTTTCAGTTTGCGACACTTTGAGACACTCGTGAGACATTTTGAGACATTTTGAGACACTCGTGAGACACTTTGAGACACCCTGAGACTCTTTGAAGCGCAACCCGCACAAATACATTCAAGCCGACAAATGTTAGCTTGCGAGAGTACAATGACTCCTTTCAATCTGGCACAACCCGCACCGAAGGTCCAAGCCGATAAATGTTGGCTTGTGAAAACGTAAAAGCTCCTGTGCAACCTGCACTGAACACAAGCCGCGTTTCAGCGTGTTGGCTTACGTGAAAAAATCTTCTGTTATAGACACCTGAAGAAATAACGAAACAAACGCCTCAGATTACGAAAGAAAGAACACAACCCAGGTGTACAAACGTAATCGCTTAATCGTGAAGCTCCCACAACAAAATTGAAAAGTTAAAGCACACAAAGAACCCGTGAAAATATGAAATGACTTATCCTTACCTTGGAAACGAAAATCCCCAAGAAACAAATATGAAATTCCGAATAAGTTCTCCAAAACCCAACGATTGAGAAGAGAAATGGCCGCCGTACAATACACTATGAAAAAACGCTGACTGGAATCCAGTCTTCACGGCTCACTGAACGCAAATAGAAACCACGTGACAAGCACTTCTCTCTCGTGGACAAATAAATAAAGAAATAAAGAAATAAAGAAATAAAGAAATAAATTTCGCGGGCCTTGACTAAGTGTGGGAAATCCCACACAAAAATATCGGGCGAGAGAAATTCTTTCATTTAGGGCACTATAGTTGTTATTTATTGCCGAGGGAGGGATGAAGCTTTTTTATTTATCTATTTATGTATATCCATACCGGATACCGGTATATTATTTTAAGGGAGGGGGGGGGGTCAATAAGAATATTTCAGAGCCCTTGGGGGGGGGGGAAGTCAGTGGACACTAATAAGAATGCCATAGAGGTGGTATGAGCCAACAAACCATGCCACAGCCATTAAGGGAAGCTTCAGAGTAAAAGTATGGCCTAAGGTTTGGCATGGTGCAGGATGAGCCAACCAAGTTTAAGAATGCTTTGCTGTCTCTGAAGAACAGGCAAGGTCAGAGAGTGGGTGGGTGATTGAGTAAACAGAGAAAGAAGTGGGAGGGAGAGGTTGGAAAGAGAGGACAGAGTCGGTAAGGAGGGGACAGTACTACTTACTTCTTTCGTGGGAATAAGAACTCTCCAAGATTTGTTGATGGATTCAACAAGCCTCATGTAGTCATCAGAGAGTGTGAAATCAAAAACCTGCATATGTTTAGGGAATGTTATGTTGTTACCTTTTGCTCATAATTGCTAAAATATTGTTTGTTTCAATGAGTATCAAGCCAATTTGCAAAGATAAAAACCATCAGCTTGATTCAAACCAAAACGTGAAGAAGAACCATGTGTGGGTGGCAATACATATCTTGATTGACAAATATAATGTGTAGCATTCCTCCTCTACTTTTGCTAAATACATGTTTTTTTATTTCATAATTCTTTAGATCAGTTTTGACATCTATTCACTTATTTACTGGTAATTACCCATGCAGGGTCATTTGTGATATTGACACTGTGGAAGCTGCTAACAAACAATAAACTGACACAGGTTTTGGTCTATGCTGACAATTCAAAAGAAGTGAATTATCATGGACACTCTGATTGGTCAATAAGCTACTGCCCTTTCACCCAATAAACCCATATAAAGCTGTTTCATGAAAGCAACAGATCACACTGTCTAAAAAGTTTTCCTGCAGGAGCAATAACTCCCTTGCAGTGCAGGTATAACACTTAATAAGTTTGTAAATCATGAGCCGCAAGTGTGCATTTATAAACTTTTCCCATATTGTCTTAAGATCTTGCCTGACCTCCTACACTGCTGAACCAAAAGAAAGTGTGGCCAATTGATTGTGTAAACAATCCCACATAATCTTGATACATTGAAAGCTTACTTCAAAGTTACTTTGAATGTGGGCAGGTGTGACACTTTTAGGTATAACAGAGACACCCCTCTGTATCTGAAAGTGAATACAGACTTGAGCAGGAGACTTTCCATATTCGTTGGCAATTTCCTCTATCTTTGGATCATGCAGTAGACTCCAGTCTTCCTGTTTAGCCTGTGGGCGTCCAGGGGATCCAAGCGGACTGTATGCTGTCACTGTGTTAACGACAAAATTATTGTATGAATTGTATGAATTGATTGAACTTAATTCCAATCTACAAACAGAAAGTATGAGTAAAGAGAAACTGTCAATTGTAGTGAAGTGGTTTATAAGCGATAATTATACAGCCTATATAGCTAGCAACACATGCTCTCATTGGTCAACTTAAGGGTCATATAACATCCAACAATGAGACTTGTTTCCTATCACACATCTTGCAAACTCTAAGACAACAGAGGTAACAGTGCACTGTAACCCACAAACCTTGACTGACAACTGTTGTCACATGCATACAGAGCACAACAGCAGGTGGTATGACATTTATAACATTCTGGTATTTTGCATTCTAATGTGCAAATGTAATATATAAAGAAGTTTTAATCTGTTTTCTCATTGCTTCCTGTAATGTCTTAGATACTCTGCCTTAAGACACAAATGAACCGTTTCCCTCAGGAAGAGTTGTTCAGGGTAAACACACCAACGATGTCTCTTTTCCTGCAATGTTCTATGAGCTGAGCTTGATTGAAGTAAGGATGACATTCGACCTGGAGAACAGCAGGTTTTATTCTGCTTTTAGATAGGATATCATCCACTTGTTTGCTGTTGAAATTTAATGAAGTAACCTAACAAAAATGAAATAAATAAATAAAAAAACTGGCAAACTGATAAAGATGGTACTCAAGCTCAATCAAGGAAAACACATTGGCCTGATGCTTAGTGATCTAGGCAACTGGTCAAGAGATCTAAAATAGAGGGGGGGTTGGGTGAACCCTGTGATGTGCTGATAGCTTTGTGAAACAGTGCCTCTTTCCACCCAGGAGTATAAATGGGTACCTACAGCCACCTATCAGGGAAACCTGATGAAATGCAGGGAAGTAGGGTGGTGTAAACCCTGTGATGTACTGGCAGCTTTGTGATACAGTACTTCTCTCCACCCAGGAGCATAAATGGGTACCTTCTGCCACCTATGAGGGAAACCTGATCAAATGCAGGGGGATGGGGTGAGGTGAAACCTTTGTTGTGCTGGTAGCTTTAGGTTATAGAAATCAGGCTCTGCTAGCAAAATGAGGTCTTGTTCAGACACCATGCAGCTGCTGTGACACACTTCATTCAGTACTTAAGTTCAAGAAAAGCAAGGCTGAAGCACAGCATTTGAGTTAAACTTTTTAATTTAGTTAGGTAAAGAATTAAGTTCATGAGGCTCTGCTCCGTGACTGAGAGAGCTGCACAGCTCTGACACAACAGCAATTCAAACATCATTCCTCTACCAAGCCAAACAAAATTAATAAATTATTTCCTAATTGCAATTAAGTTTGGCATGGCTGAAGTATGACGTCTGAACCAAGCTTTAGCCACTTACCCATTTTCAGAATTTTACCTTTGACCTTTACCCATTCACCTCACAAAAACTGAGATTAAGGCTTCAACAATAAGAGGCAATTTATTTCTGAAATCTCAGAGATTTGTATAATTACATCTGTTAGAAATCCCATGAAGGTAGTCTTTACCAATTGCTTTGAAAAGACCATCATCCACAAGTGTTTCCATTGCTTTCCAAGTATCACATGGATCATGGTATGCATAAATAATATTTCCATCATCATCCTTTGGAAAACTGACATCACCATCCTTAAAGGATACAGGCCAGTGTATAAGATAGAAGTCAAGATAATTGAGTCCTAAGTGAGTTTGCTCTGCAGCAGAATGCACATCAGTAGGGTTGTGCTTTGTGTTCCATAACTTAGATGTGATGAACAAATCTTTCCTATTCACCTACAAAACAAGGAAAGAAATGAATCCCTGTCCTTTGTGAAGGAGATCCAATTCAGCTGAAGAAGTCTGGCTTCAAGATCTGGCTGCATTGTTGTGTTGCGTTCTAAGCCAAGTATTTCATCGCTCACTGTATTTTTCTGAACCCAGAACTGACTGCACCAGCGAACAGTCAGGGAAGCAACAAGAAATGCTGAGGGTTTAATTAACCCTTGGTTGGCACAAGCACGTCCTTTTGCGGTGAAAGAAGCTATGTAAACATAATAGGCAAATCTAGACCGGATAAAAGCTCTGCAAAAACTTTTGACATTTTTTTTGGCGATATTTTGTAAGTTTGTCGCTTTCCCAGCCCGCTCTTTCGCTCGACTTTACTGACTGAGGGTCAGAGAGAATCAGAGAGAATCAGTCCATAACATTTCTGTACCGTTTTTCCGATACAAGACTTTAAAGCCTGTCCGACCTCTTTTTCATTGCCATAAACCGCTGCGCAGTCAATGTGTCTGTATCCAGCTTTTATCGCCATTTAGACGGCATAGGTGACCTTGTCTGGTTTGTTTTTCCATGTTCCAAGACCAAGAGCGGGTAGCGAACCACCGTCGCTTAATTTGATGGTTTCCATGTGATTTTATGGTACAAACAAAAGCTCTCCCAGATGTTCTGCACATTAGTCAAGCAGCTTTGATAAGGACCAAAGAACAGAATAGGACCTCATTAATGTCCTGTAAATCTCTCTAAGAGCTGTTTCTGTTTGGTATTATTCCCTATTAGCATATCGGCGCCAATCATGGCGGCCACTTTTAGAGTAGCTCTAGTTTCTATCACTATTCTATCCTGTTTAAGCGCTGCATTTCTAAACCATTTATTATCCTTCGAGGCTACCTTTAAATCAAGGTGGGAACCCCTGCACACTGCTGTTCAACTCAAGAAGAAATGCACTTGTATCGTCAAAGATGGTTTTCATCGATCAAGAGTTCCAATACAGAAGCACACTAAACACGGGTTTGTCTCCTTAGTCATCCCTGGCCACGACCCTCCATTGGACATCACGGTATACGTTGATATTTCGACCAACCCCGGTCCTGTTCAATCTATTATCGCCATTGGTAGCCGGCAGAGAGCCACTAGAGATTTAATTCGGCAGCTTGATTCTCCAATTCGCCAAACAACGACCCTACAGTACTCTCGGCGCGAACTGGTGTCGCTCCGGAAAAATTACAGCCTTCAGAAGAGACGGTCAGTTTTATTTAAGAACATTCGAGCGGATGGAATTTTTAAGTACCGAGGGAAACGGTCCGGAAGACTTACTAAAACACAATTAAATACAGGCCGAAGCAAATATTCTTCAGAAACGAATGAATTTTCAACCTTGAATAATTATTCACAGTCGAACAATCACACCTTACCGGGGCTTTCAGTAATTCCCGTGAGAACAACCACACGCGCCATCTCCAGTAGTTACACAAGACCAAGAACTGTTAATTGCTATAACTCTTCCATCTTGAATGAATCTTTACGGTTCAATAATCACGCTTTACCGAGACTTTCAACAATTCCCGTGAGAGTAACTACGCGTGTTTCCTCCAGCCGTTACACAGAAGAAAGAGCCGTCAATTTCAATAATCTGGCTATTATCAAGCCTAAGAGAAACATCGACGCCAGGAAAAACACCTTGCAGTTCGTACCGCCAATAGCTGTGTCTAATGTAATGAGTTTGGCACCAAAAATAGACGAACTTCGTATTTTTTGAACACCCACGAGTTTGATCTTTGTTGTATAACGGAGACATGGCTGAAAGATTCTATTGATGACAGCGTAGTTGACATTAGTGGCTACAACATCATACGCAAAGATAGGACCCACAAGCTACATGGGGGTGTGGCTCTATATGTAAAAGATTCCATCAAATTCTCAATTCTACGGGACTATGAGTTTCCTGACCCCGAGGGCCCTGAGGTTTTGTGGGCCAAAATCACGCCCAACCGATTGCCCCGGGGTTATAGCTGCCTTATCATTGGTACAGTATACCATCCTCCACCGCCTGCCAAAGATGAGCCCCTCCTTGATTACATGATGGATTCTCTCTCTAGGATAGAGAGTGATATCCCTGGCGCAGGTATAATTCTCGCTGGCGACTGGAACAGGGCAAATGTTTCACCAGTTATTAAGCAGTTCCGCCTCACGCAAGTCGTCCACTTTCCAACAAGAGGGGATCGTACACTCGACAAAGTGCTAACTAATCTTACAGAACACTACGAGAAACCTTCTCCATTCCCGCCCTTCGGACTATCCGATCATTGTACTGTTGGTTTGTTTCCAAAAATTAGATCGAAGGCCAATATTCCTGCAAACAGAACGGTTACTACACGTGCTGTTAACGCTGAGTCCAAACAGGCTTTTGGTCGTTATATGACGGGGGTCGACTGGTCATTAATCGACACTATAGATAGCGTCCAAGAACAGTATGCTCACTTCAGTGACCTAATTCACATAGGGTTAGATTCTATCCTTCCCAAAAAGCGAGTTAAGTTCCACCGAAACGACGCACCATGGATTTCACCCAAACTCAAGGCACTTATAGCACACCGTCAAAGAGCATATTACCAAGACAACAAACCATTGTTCCACTACTACCGGAACAAAGTAAACAGGGAACGGAAGCTCTGCAAACGCTCTTATTACAACACTAAAGTCAGCGTTTTGACCGAAAACAATCCTAAAATGTGGTGGTCCGAATGTAGGCGGTTATGTGGAATGAACAAAACATCTACAAGTGTCGCAAATCAGCTCCTAGCAAGTAAACCAGCTACCTCAATCAACCTTAAGATCTTGGCTAATGAAATCAACACAGCTCTGCTAGAACCTCAAGCTTCGTTTGACCCACTTTTAGATAATATCGAAACTGTGAGCACTGAGGGTTTTAAAACTCCCATTATTTCACTGGAAGCTACCTTCAAATGCCTTAGTACGGTCAGCTCCTCCAAAGCTGGGGGCCCAGATAATATCCCAAACTGGGTCTTGCGTGACTTCGCTCCTGAGCTCGCTCAACCTCTTCGTTGTATCATCAATTCCTCGATTAGTCAAGGGACTTTACCGGACATTTGGAAATGTGCAAACATCACCCCTCTTCCCAAAACAAAGATAGTTGAGGATGCGGCGAAAGATTTGAGACCTATTTCACTGACACCAACGTTGTCCAAAATTGCCGAGCACTACGTCGTCCATGAACATGTGAAGCCAGCACTTCTGGAACGCCTGGAACCAGATCAATTTGGGTGTATTCCAGGATCCTCGACTGCGCATGCATTGATAAACCTGATGCACAATTGGGCGCAAGCAACAGACGGAACGGGGAACACCGTGCGGATCTTTGCGTTGGACTATAGAAAAGCCTTCGATCTGATAGATCACAGCCTTTTGCTATCGAAACTCTCGACCTACAATATCAACCCTTACATCATTAATTGGATAATAGCCTTTCTTAAAGATAGGAAACAAAGGGTCAAACTTGCACATGATTGTCTCTCAGAGTGGGGATCGGTCCGAGCAGGAGTACCGCAGGGAACAAAATTGGGACCGTGGCTATTCTTGGTTATGATAAATGATTTGAAAGTACCATCAGCCAGTGATTGTATAAAATATGTAGATGACACGACAGTGTATGAAATCATAAGCAAGGGTGGTCCTAGCAATGCTCAGTCTATGATAAACGAAGTAGCTACCTGGTCAACACTTAACTCGTTTCAACTTCATCCGAAAAAAAATGTAATGAGCTAAGAGTTTCCTTCGTGCGCTCCCCTCCTTCCTACGATCTCATAGAAATTAATGGCTCTAAGGTTAGCGCCGTTAGTGTCGTGAAATTACTGGGTGTGTATTTTCAAGACAACCTCAAGTGGAACACTCACGTTACTGAGATGATTAAAAAGGCCGCTAAGCGCCTTTACTTTTTAACTCAGTTAAAGCGAGCCAAGGTACCATCACCAGAATTAGTGAATTTTTATGTTGCCTGCATTCAATCCGTCTTACTTTATGGATGTCAGGTCTACCATTATAGTCTCCCCGATTATTTGAGCTTAAGTTTAGAGCGTGTCCAAAAGAGAGCCTTGAAAATTATATACGGTTATGATACTCATTATAGAGAAGTGCTTCAGATGGCAGAGCTGAAAACCCTAAGGGATCGGAGGGAAGACCTTTGCTTAAAATTCTTTAACAACATCGTCTCCAATCCCTTGGATTGTTTGTACCACTTACTGCCTTTCGACAACCGAGATCAACTTATGGAGTTACGACGACGCAGACCATTTAGAGTTTCCTTCAAAACAAATCGGTTCAGAGATACTTTCATTCCAGCAAGCGCAAGACATTTTAATTGACATCTATTACAATTGTATATGGGCCCATATGTAAATTAGTTCCCTTTTAGGTTTGATTTTATTGTATGGTTCTATTATATAATTTGTACACCTTTGTAATTCAGCTTCCAGCTGCTATTAAGGTATTCTTAATAAACGTCTATCTATCTATCTATCTACCTAGGATAAGGATAAGAACCTCACTAATCGAGCTTCGGTTACAAAGTCGTTTTCTTCCAAGGCGTTCCAAGTATAGACGCGTAGAAACTAGTGATGAGAATCGCGAGCCTCTCCTACTGGGTGTTGCCGTCTGCCCACATATCGGGGGGATACAGAGGCCGAAATTTTTGCATAAGTACATTCATTTTTCAACAAAATAAAATTATCTGGCCGGTTTTTTCTCCTTTTCACTGAATCCTTCATCAAAATACACCAGTGTAGACCTTACAAACGAACAGGAAATATGCACAAGAATACTCAATTGAAAAGAAGAGGTTTTTTTTAAAGGGGGATATATGTAACGGCGTAATATGTGACTACCGCAGTCTATATACTGTAAGATTTTACGCCACTATCTCAGTCGGTAAATTAATTATAATAAATTAATATGTAATGTAAATTATATTACTGGCGTAAAATTTACATTATATGTATCGCCGACTGGAAGAAATTACCCCGTTAGTTACCGGCCGTAAAATCTTGCATATATACATCACCGACTGGAAAAAATTACGCCGTTAGTTACTGGCCGTAAAATCTTACATATATACGTCACCGACTGGAAGAAATTACGCCGTTAGTTACTGGCCGTAAAATCTTACATATATACATCGTTAGTAAACGGCTTAAAATCTTACAGTATATACACTAACGTAGATAATGACGTAAAATCGTACAGTCTATAGACTGTGTTAGTCGCATATTACGCCGTTATCTAACGACCGTCAGGTTAGGAAGTTAGAAGTTTATGTGTCACTATTTTTAGCACTTTGATTTGATGTTATTGGTGGGTTATGGCACGCTGTCATTGGTGTATTTTGAACCTCATTATTTTTCTGAGTATTGGACGTTGTTCCCTTACAGGTTCACTTTGTTACTGATCAGCTATCACGCTCTTTCATAGTAGGCATCCACGCTTAAGGAATTTCAATTCTGTAATATGATTTAATTATAT